CCATGTGAACTTTGGAAGGGATATAGTCCAAATTTTAAAATTTTGAAAGTGTGAGGGTGTTTGGCTAAGGTGGCTTTTCCAGATTTTAAAAAATCCACAATCGGATCTAAAACTTTTGAATGCGTATTCATTGGGTATGCACATAATAGTGCAGCTTATAGGTTCATGTTGTTGAGTGATAAGTCTATTTGTGAAGCTAGAGATATGGTATCTTTGAGCACATTTTTCTTATAAATAAATCTTTGTCTTCTAATGTATATATGCATGCTAGTAAATCAAGTGTTAATGTTCCCAAGTTGATTTTATGCCTAATTCTAGTCTCCCCTCTTCCTTTACTAAAGTAGTAAAAGTTGAACTTAGGAGAAATAAGAGACCTAGAGTAGAGTCTTCCTTTAGTTTGAATTTCGTGGCTTCTTTTGTAGTAAAAGACTTTGATGTGGATTATTTGAGTGAGCATGGTGTGTCTTTGTTTCTCTTAGAAGAAGACTCTAAGACTAATGACGAGGCAATAAGGTCCATATATGCTAGTTTTTGGAAAGAGGCCATTAAAAGTGAACTACACTAGCAAGTCCAATCATACTTGGGATCTTTCTGACTTTCCTTAAAGTTCTAGACCTATAAGTTGTAAAAGATTTTCCAGAAGAAATTAGACCAAATGGGACAATAGATAAGTTCAAAGCTAGACTTGTCATTAGAGGTTTCACTCAAAAGGAAAGTATAGATTTCTTTGACACCTTTTCTCCCGTGACTAAGATTGCCACCATTAGAACATTGATAGCTTTAGCGACTATTCATGACTTAGTGGTTCACCAAATGGATGTCAAAACGACTTTTTTTTTCTTAATGGAGACCTTGATGAAGAAATTTATATGATCTAATCGGAAGGTTTTGTGGTGTAAGGGCAAAAACACAAGGTGTGTAGGCTTAAGAGGTCACTCTATAATCTTAAACAAACTCATAAGCAATGGTTTGAAAAGTTTGATAGTACTCTTAAGAAATGTTGCTATGTTACTAATTCATCAAACTCTTCTTTGTACTTTAAGGAGTTTGGATCATCATGTGTTATAATTTGTTTATATGTTAATGATATGCTTATTGTTGGTACGAACCTTGAAGTGGTGAATGATGCTAAGGCTATGCTTTCCACTAAGTTTGAAATGAAGGACATAGGAGAAGCCAATGTTATTCTTGAAATTCAGGGAATGGTTTTTCCATGAGTCAATCTCACTATGTAGAAAAAATTCTATAGATATTTGACTCTTTTGATGTTGTATCTAGCAAGGTGTCATTTGACGCCCACATGAAGCTAGTGAAAAATAAGGAGTCTAGTGTATCTCAAGAGCTTTATGCAAGGGTGATTGGTAGTGTTATGTTTTTGATGAATTGTGCACGACCCTACATTGCCTATGCGGTAAGTAGACTTAGTAGACATACTCACAATCCAAGTCAAGAGCATTGGGTTACTCTTTGTCGGCTACTAAGGTACCTTAAAGGTATTATGGAGGTATGCTTGCATTTTAATTGCTTTCCTAATGTTTTAGAAGGCTATTATGATGCTAATTGGACAACCGATAATGATGAAGTTGTTTCAACTAGTGGGTATGTTTTTGTTTTGTGTGGAGGTGCTATTTTATGGAAGTCCTCAAAACAACCATGTTTAGCTCACTCTGCCATAGAAGCTAAATTCATTGCTCTTAAGTTGGGAGGTCATGAAGTAGAGTGGCTTAGGAATATCCTAGCCGACATACCGTTGTGAGGGAAATCTTCATCTCCGGTGTCTATACATTATGACTCTCAAGCGGCCATTGGAGTTGTCAAAAACAACAACTACAATGGTAAAAAGAGACATATGCATATGAGACACAAAGTTGTGAGACAATTTCTAAAGAATGGCGTAACTGCGTCGGACTATGTAAAGTCCGAAAAGAACTTGGCGGATCCTTTAACGAAAGGGTTAGCAAAAAAACAAGTTGAAGAATCATCAAGGGGAATAGGACTCAGGGCCACATGATACATTACATTTGTCCTAGTTCCTATGGTGATAATGGTTGGGTGTTAAAACTCTTAATCAGTTTTGTAATATCCACCGTTGTTTATTGTGAGGTTGAGCGCTTAAGCTCTTAATAGGTCCTTTTCTATTAAAACGCATTCTAGGACTCACTTATGTGGTCGTGAAGATTGGCCATCTTCTATGAAAACCTTGGTCGGTTTTCTAGAGCCTTCACTAGACCTAAGGTGAATATGCTTGGCTATAAAAGAGTATATCTCTTCGCAGAGTCTATGGAAATTTGGAGTAATGTATGTGTTGTGGAGGTCTTGAGCTAAATCTTGGAATTTTAGTCTTGAGCTAAATCTTGGAATTTTAAGGTTAGTCCACTCCATAGATCAAAAGTCAAAGGGTTTCAAGGTCTTGTCCACCCTTATACTTGTAGCTCAATGCTTTATTTTACTAAGCACTAGATTTTAAATTACTTATGCAATATCTAAGTGTTATGTATTGATCTCCTCTTATGCCCATTAGTTGCTTCTCATCATTTTGTTGTTTTCGTTTCCTCACTTTAGTGGGAGATTCTTGGGAGTAAAGAGAAGAAAGGTAGCTGATCATTGCACTCTAGACTGATCGGGTGTTTTTTTAACACATTTGTTTCCTCGATCGTCAGGCACGAGTGCAAAGTTGATTTTCTTGGGCGAACCTCTCTCGTCGGTCGAGCGCGCATGCAAGTTGAGATTATGTATCACTCATGCCCCGTGAGGCTGGCGCGGATGCGCGTCTTACGACACTTTCTCTTCCTCTTCGTTTGTAACCCCCTCTTAACAACTGTAATTAAATGAGTGTTTAAGAGGTTGTTAAACCCCCTTTTATTTCTGATTAAGTCTACATTCACTTGGTCTTCTTCAATCCCTTGAATATATCCATTGTTGTTTTATAAATTCCATGATAAAAATCAAATTTACACACAAAAATTAGCTAAACACATTTGTTCTTTGGGCATAAATTTACTTTGACTCCACCTCTTACTCTAAAGTGCCTTAGTGTGAGAGTGGTATGTAACCTTAGGGAACGATCCAGCGATTACAATTATGCACCCCGGTTGCGTCGGAATTCGTTTTCAAAGGCAGTGATATATCATAACACACCGAATTTCCTCTATTCTATTATTCTTCTTTATACTCGTTGACTTTTTGTATTAGACTCCATTTTTACAAATGTGTTTCACAATCACATGGCAGACCATAAGTTAGTGCATGTCAAACTATCATGTACTCCCTCTATCCCCTTTTTATGTGCTTTTTTCCTTTTTTGGTGTCTGTTTCTAAATATAGCACATAATCATTACTTACTTTTTTAACCCATACAAAATACACATATACCCAAAATAATCATTACTTACTTTTTATCTTTCTCATACAATATTCTTTACTTTTTACTATTCTCATACAATATTCTCTACTTTTTATATTTCCTATACAAGATTCCTCTACTCCATCTATTCTCCTTAATTATCGTGCTTTTTGAGAAATAAACACGTTAAAAGGGGACGGAGGGAGCAATAGAATTTTCCCTTAAATCTATGCGACATGCCGAGATCAAATAAAAACTTCATAGCACACATTCACTTCAACCAACCAACTTTGTATGGCAATATCTTCATTAATTTCCCATCCTTATGGATAACAGATCCTTCCTTGATAGCAAAGAAACTCAAAACCTTGGAAAAATCTCTCACCCAACGTGAGCGCCCTACCTCCCTATCTCTAAGTTCTTTAAAGTAACAAATATTCCATCTTATTACCCCCTCCATTCCTTTTAATTGTCCAATTTACAATCTACACAGTTTCCAATGCGATATTGTAATTAATACTTCCTCTGTTCTACTAATATTGCAACAGCTGGACTTTTACACTATTCATCACGCTTGTTTGACCACATATTATGATTTATACGTTAAGTAAAATATAGTCATATGGGTCTTGTTAGATTCTAACTTGTAAAATATTTTCACAATATCAACTTTTTAATAATTTTTACTTTTATATAATTATAGATATTTAGCATATAAAATGTGCTTTGGGATGCCTAATTTCATCCTTATTGCAATATTTGTGGAGCAGAGGAAATATATCTAAAGCTATATATTGTAGAATAATAAAAATAATATATTTGGAAACTAATAATCGAGACGTTTTAACAAGATCACACCTAAATATGTTTTGAAATCTACATCTATTCTTAAAATATTACATTTCCTTTGCATTGGAATCTCGCAAGATTTTAAAAAGGACAAATATTAAGAAGCGGAGGGAGTAGTATACTAGAGCTTAAAATCTCCAGAACCCAAAGTTTGTCTCCACAATTCCACTTACTCTCTACACATTATTTTGTTTCATTAGTCAACACAATATCTAATCGCAAACTCTCATCTCAAACATCATGCACCATAGCATATTGTCTTAAATTGAACTCGTAAGTTGTGTTGATGACCAGCAAAAGCAAGAAAGATTATGTTTTTTTTCAGATTATTATTATTGCTTATATAATCTTATCTGACTGCCTTATTTTATAAAATCATGAACTTTGGGGTCTTATTAGATATGTATTAATAAGTATTTTCTAAATACATAAATTTCATAATTTTTATCATCACGAAATTAGCGATAGAATTCAAATAAAACGGTAAAGTCTAATTTGAACTTAATTTTTCTGATCTAATTCGAACTTATCTTTTTTTGAAATAATCTGAAATAAGTAATAAGGTTATAGAGCTGAGAGGCTTGAACTTCTCTAGACATAATTTCCATGTAAGTTGGGAAATTTAAGGATGGGAAGAGGCGGGAATAAGAACAAGTCAATTCCCACATCATATCTCCATTATATTTTAACTACAAAAACCATCAATACCACATGTTTCACACTGAATGGTCACAAAATACAGCATGCTATATTAACCTTTGTGGCAATGATAATATGATGAATACATAAGAGTGTTTGAATTGAATACCTCAGGTAAAGCAGCTTTTCGCTTTCTTCTATCATTTTTTGGCCCTGCAGCTTTTAAGCAGTGACAATTAATTTTATTGACAAACATTAGAACAAAGGCAAAAGGCTAAAAATGAGCTCGCTTACAAGATATAAACCTCATGTCCTCATTTACCAAAAAATTTATTATTAAAAAAAAAAAAAAAAAAAAAAAAAAAAGCATAAAACAAGAAATGCCTCTGTTTTTCAACTTGAAAACTACATTTATCTAAATAAAAAAAGGTCCAATTTTTGCTTTTTACAAATTCACCAGGGATTTTAGTATTTTACTATAAGCTCTCCCAATTTAATTTTCCTTGTTTCAAATAGGAAAACAATGTGAAATTAGCAAATCCTTCAACTTGGCAAGAAAAACATATTAAGGAAATCAGGAATTTTGGGATGCTAATATGGAATATGACTTCGCCAAAAAAATTAAAAATAAAAAAACCACACTCAATTTTTTCACACACAAAGACAAGCTGTTCCTAATGATTAATGCATTTTACTGTTTATATGCATATATATTTGTGAAAAAATAATATTGCTTTCACAGAAAACAAAGATTACAAGCCAAGAAAAAAGGCCAAGTCTAAACAATCCATCAGAAGCAGCTAATAAGACATTTATTGCTACACAATCAGTACATGCCTGATTTTTTGTCTTGAGTGGCGGTTTCCACTTTCTTCTGCTCTGCAACCTGTACAGCAATTTGCATCTTCCAATCAAAGATGGTGTAAATAATGATGTTTAACTTCAATAATGTTGGTCAACTCACCTTCACTTTTTCGGTTTTTGATATTGAGCTACTCAGCTGCATCTTCTCACTGGAAACTGAGATGGATCAACAATATCACATATCTGAGCATATATATAGTCATTGACAACTTCAATAAGAATGTATATGGATAAGGAAAAGTGGAAACCTTTACAGAAAGCTATCTTTTCTAAACTTCCAGATGTATTCTGAAAATGATATTTCAGGTAAGAGATTATTGTAGTATAAATAGAGACATATGCCATACAAAGAAAAGTATGAGCTGAGTGTACAAAAATTATGCTTTATGCTTGCCTTTGCTTCAACTTTCTTGAATAGAGTTGATATAGAGGCTTGAACTAGTGAAGTACGGGATGATACATTAGTTTGTGATTTTGACAAGGAAGACAATGGTGGTTGTGTTGTGTCTTCGGAGTTGTTTATTGCTGCTGACGTCTCTGGAATACCAGGATCCTGATCATCCGAGCATGACTTTAAATTCTGTGCTTAAACATTAAGGTAGACAAATTTTGGTATTGCAAGGGAAAAAAAATCTGAAATACGAAATTAATTCTGCAGGAATCAAAACTATTAGTACAAAACAAGTATTTCACATAATTTCTTAGAAGTGAGTTTGATAAAACTCAAAAGCACCAGTATTAATGTACACAAAAGAATATACCTACAAGCACAAAGCACTACATATCCCCAAATCTGAAAATATAGTCACTTATGTAGCACACAACTCACATGTACATTAAAGTGCTCCAGCATCTGAAGAAGCAATAAAAACATAATAAGTGGAAGTGCTAGCAGAAGATTACAAAAAGAAGCAAATGACCTTCAAACTCACGAGCTAAATGAATAAGCATTTTCAATGACACATGTTTTTAAATTAGTTAGACTGCATGGGGCATGGTAAGCAACATTTCAAAGGAAAAGAAGACCAGCACAATAAATCTCCAAATATTATGTGAAAGATAGAGAACAAGAAGGATATTAGCAGTGTCCTTATCTTCTCCAGACACATCACTGACACTCTCCGCAGAATCATCTCCCGAAGAAACTTCAGCAAAACTGGACAAAAGAAGGAAGGCAGCAACATCAGCCTCAACTTTGATGCCAATCCAAAAACAATAGTCAAAATACTTGACCCATGGAGCTCTGATTTTCAAAGACTACTAAGGGAACTTTTTCTGAAAGACACAATCTTTTGTAAGTGAAAGGAGAAAAATTGATGAAGTTGTAGCAAGATAACAAAAAAATGATTATCATGACATTGAAAACTAGCTGAGGATATGGACACTAACACCAGCTAACAACAGCAACTATTAGAATAACAGGCTTATTTCAAACAGCACCAGCATGTACAGCCAAAACATGCAAAATGGAGATAATAAATAAACAAATTGAATTGTCACATAATAAAAGCCTAAAGTTGCAAGACACTCAGATAATAAGACAGAGACAAACACAACACAGAGGACAGAGGAAATACCCCCTCACCTAACTAATAATTACCCTAAAGTGAAAGAACAACTGCTACTTTTGGTTAGCTACACTAAATCTTAAGCCATCATTACTTTATATTGCCTAAATCTTCTGTGAGCTCTAACTAGGCCTTTACTTGCCTTATACAACTTTGTTCCAGCTCTTTAAAGAAAATGTCACCTGCTCTTATAGCCCATTATAAGGGCCTTCATATGGAGCATCTGGATGCCTTCTCTAAACTTGCCCACACTTAAGTCTCAAAACCAATTGAAGTTACCTTCACCCTATTTCTTATCACTTCATTATTATTATATATCTTTTGGTATCTTTACACATCGAAAGAAGCATCCTTATTACAATCCCTTCTTGTTTCTAGACTTGTATTTACTTGATTAGCCCAGCAAAGAGACATGACAGAAAATACAAGATTTCCCTATAGAAATTCCTCCCATTTCATTTTGCTGAATGCGGTGGCAGAAAAACATAATAAAGAAAAGAAATACTAATTACGATACAAAAAGAAGAAGACAGAAGCAAGAAGCATGACTCCAATAATCTCAACCCTAAATAATCAATAATCAGATGGCTTCAGGCCATATCTCCAAGACTCCAATCATAAAACTCCAAACGGACATTTATATCTAAAATACTACGTTGCATACTGCTTTCCTGCTTCACTCATGCTGGAGGCATATATTAATGGTCAGAGAAGCTACTACAACCATTAACACATAAAGAAATATTCTATAAAACAAAAACTTCTTTTGAAGAATAGAGAATAAGCTCAGATTAAATTCCCATAGAGAAAGCCAAATCCTTGCTCAATGCAGCCAAATACAGCTAGACATGTTAAAAGAACTGGCATAATAACACGATACAGGGACAACTTGATTTATAACTCATCTAGTATGACAAATGGAAATCAGAACACATAGTACAATTGCATGGGATCAATGTTGGGTTTAATCTTGTTTTACTGCTCCTTGGCAAGACCGATCATTATTAATTTAATTCAACAATAATTCATATATAATTTAGTTGGTTATTAAATTCAACAGAAACGAGCACTCGTACTTGAATTTCCTGCCAGCAGTCCTTCCTGATTGCCGGACTGGCGTGCTATTTTCTAGATCAATCAGATTTTGATGCCTTTCAGGTGATTCAGCTTCCAGCTCATCAACTGGTGACCCAGATAGTAGTGGTTCTTCAGTGGACATGGGAACTACTTTCTTAAAATCTTTTCTTCTTGTAGCAGTTGCACCAGCACCACCTTTAAAATCAACCTCAGGATGCGCTCCCTAAAACCAAAAGGAGATGACCTTAGTAATGCCTAAAGTCACCACATAATATCATACATATCCTGAATATGATTGATGAAGAAAAAAACCTCATATAGCTCTTTTGGAAAATCCAATCTGGCCTCATTTGGATTTTCTTCTTTTTTACCGACCCAACATGCATCAGAAAATACTATCTGCAAATTAAAATTCAAGACCAATCACAAGGTGGAAGTAGGACCCAAAGTCTAATAGTTGAAGCCATATTTAATCTAGTGTGAGCCGGTGCTGTATGAACACCTTTTTAATTTCATACTAAATTTTTAAGGAGTGACCAAGTAAACATGATTGTTACCTAGTCGCCAAGTAACTGAGTAGTAGAGGTATCAAGCGGTGGGTACCGGTTGTTCCCCTTTATTTGCCAATGTTTGTTGGCTTTTAACTCATAGGTTGTTAACCTAGCAGGAGTAGTGGTTGAGAGCCCCTATTTGCTAAAAACAGGCGGACGACTCATACCTTTTAGGCTCCATACTAAGTTTGAGAGAGTGACTATGAGTTAACTTTGGAGTTACTCAGTCGCCGTCACTCCTGCTTGAGTAGTAAAGGTACCAGGCGGCGGAGGCCGGCTTGTTGGCTATTAACTCAAGAGGTACCCCCTGCATTTATCCCAAGTAATACAGGCGGTCATCTGACTCAGATGTCAACTGCTACCACTGGTTTGGTTAGTGATAGAGTTATCCTTGTCTCAAAAACGGCTACGTGGTTGCCCTTGGGGACAGTCGTATAGGTGCCGTGTAATTAGTTTATAGAGCAATGTTCCACCCAAAAGGGAGCTGCTCTCTGCGACGAATTTCATCCGGAGGGATGCCGCCGGACGCCTGCTATGATGTTGGGACAGGTCGTATTAGTTTTGAAGATTGGATCAGTTGGCTTGGCGCCTGGTCTGATCATTCGGCCTGTGGCCTTGGTTAGTCCTTTGGTGGACGTAGGTGCTAAGTAAAAGGAGGGTAGCCGCCTGTTTAGGCACAGGGTCGGCCAGGCCCTGATCATTTTTAGCTAAGTATAAGGGGGGTGGCTGTGTGTTTGGAACCAGTCGGCCCTCTTCTATGGAGAGTAGCCGACTATATGTCCAGACGGCGTGCCCCTATGGTGATAGAGTAAAATATTCAATGGAGAGTAGCCGACTGTAAAGGTACAGGCGGCATGCCCCTCTGAAGATAGAGTAAAATACTCAATGGAGAGTAGCCGACTGTAAAGGTACAGGCGGCATGCCCCTCTGAAGATAGAGTAAAATACTCAATGGAGAGTAGCCGACTGTAAAGGTACAGCCGGCATGCCCCTCTGAAGATAGAGTAAAATACTCAATGGAGAGTAGCCGACTGTAAAGGTACAGACGGCATGCCCCTCTGAAGATAGAGTAAAATACTCAATGGAGAGTAGCCGACTGTAAATGTATAGGCGGCCTGCCCCTCTTAAGTAAGAATAAAAATTAAACATGGAGAGTAGCCGACTGTTTGTCAGCAGGCATGCCCCTCTTAAGTAAGAATAAAAACTGAGTATGGAGAGTAGCCGACTGTTTGTTAGTAGGCGTGCCCCTCTTAGTACAAAATTGAATATTAAGTATGCAAACTTTTATTAAGTAGCCCTTGACTATTTACATCATTCAAAAGAAATATTTCTTAAGATTATCTACATTCCAAGTTCGAGGCAACGGTTGTCCGTCTGGTGTTCCCAGACGGTAGGTACCGTCCCTGACCTCTTCACAGATTCGGTAGGGTCCTTCCTAGTTGGGAGTTAGTTTGCAGCCCTACCAACTGCTTCCATTTTTCTAAGTACAAAGTCCCCCACTTTGAGTGGACGCCTGTGTACTTTTTTGTTGTATGATCTAGTCATTCTCAGGCGGTAAATTTCATGGCACAAAACAGCATTGCCCCTCCTTTCAGGAAGTGAGTCTAATGCCAGGCGCATGGCTTCCCAGTTTGCCTCTTCGTCATATAGCATTACTCGAAGAGTCGGCTCGTAGTGTTCTATTGGAAGAACAGCTTCCGCACCATAAGTTAGGAGGAATGGAGTTTCTCCAGTCGCCCCTTTTTCAGTCGTCCTAATGGCCCAGAGAACATGTGGTAATTCATCCGCCCATAGGCCGCCTGCTCGTTCAATCTTTTTCTTGAGACCGTCTGAGATGATTTTATTAAAGGTTTCTACCTGGTCGTTTGCTTGTGGACGGCCGACAGATGCAAAGTAGTGTGCAATTCCTTGGTCACCCAACCAGCTTTTGAGAACAGACGTCTCAAATTGGGGACCATTATCAAAAACCATAGACATGGGAACCCCGAACCGAGTGATGACATTTTTCCAAATGAATGAAATTACATCCTTCGTCTTGATTCCCTTTACAGCCTCCGCCTCTACCCATTTAGTGAAGTAGTCGACGGCAACAAGTATGTACCTCCTTCCGCCTGTAGCAGGCGTATATGGACCCAGAATATCCATGCCCCACTTAGCACACGGTAGTGGGCTATGAATGGTAGTGAGGTCAGTAGCCGGACGGTGAATTAGTTTGTCAAACCTTTGGCATTTGTCACATTTTTTCACCATCACCATCGCATCTGCTTCTAAAGTAGGCCAAAAGTAGCCCTGCCGCCTTGCCCGTTGAGCAAGCGTCCTACCGCCTATATGGGAAGCACAGTAACCAGAGTGAAGATCGTCTAGTATCTCTCGTCCCTTTTCTGGAGTAACACACTTTAAGAAGGGTTGAAGGTACCCCCTTTTGTGAAGTTCTCCCTTTATTATTTCAAAACTGGTTGCTTGTTTTTTCAGTGCTGCCGCCTGTTGATGATCATCCGGCAGGGTACCGTTTGTCAGATATGCCCTGATTGGATCCATCCAGGTTGAGCTTCTGTCTAGGATTCCAATAGGGTCTTCCTCGATGCTTCTCTTCTCCATTACTTCCCAAAAAATAGTTCGAGGAGTATCACAAGAGGCGGATGATGCTAATTTTGACAGTGCATCCGCCTGGTTGTTTTCTGATCTCGGCACTTGGGTCAGATGGAAATCCTCAAGGGAGCCGACTGCTTGTCGGACCGCCTGTAAATACTTGATCATGGCCGGATGGGTTGCTTCGTATTCGCCATTGTACTGACTCACTATCAATTGTGAATCGGAACAGGCGTCTATTTTTCTTGCCCCTGCCGCCTTGCACATGCGGATTCCGACTAGTAAAGCTTCATATTCTGCCTCATTGTTTGAGGCCTGAAAACTGAAGCGTAGAGCATACTCGTACCTGTCGCCCTTGGCGACTGACATATGACGCCTGCTCCACAACCATTTGAAGTAGAGCTTCCGTCCACATATACCTTTCAGACTTGGTCTGTAACATGAGAGTCCGGAGGACGACTCATCTCAACAATAAAGTCAGCAAAGGCTTGCCCCTTCACTGCTTTTCTAGGCTCGAAAGTAACTTCGAGGCTCTGAATTTCTATGGCCCATTTGATCATTCGGCCTGACGACTCCATGATGGTCAGTGGCCGCTTGATAGGTTGGTCTGTTTACACGACGACTGCATGTGCCAAAAAGTAGGGCTTCAATTTTTTAACAGTCATGAAGAGTGCAAGACCAAATTTCTCCACTAAGGGATACCTCAACTCGGCATTTTTCAGTACATGACTGACAAAGTACACCGGGAGCTGACAGCCGTCTCTTTCAGCAAGGAGAACAGCGCTTAACACATGATCAGAGACGGTCAGGTACATGTAGAGTACTTCTTTGGGCAAAGGGCTTCGGCAAGGAATGCAAGTGAACTTTCAATTTCTGGAAGACCGCCTCAGCATCCGGCCCCCATTCAAACCTTGCCTTTTTCTTAATTGCCTGGAAAAAGTATAGGCATTTGTCGCTTGATCGGCTTAGAAATCTTCCCAAGGCCGCCAGACAACCTGTTAACTTCTGAACCTCTCGGATGGTACGAGGCGACTGCATGTCAATGACCGCCTGCACCTTCTCAGGGTTCGCCTCTATTCCTCTCTGATTGATAAGGAATCCGAGAAATTTCCCAGACTCAACTCCAAAGACACATTTCTTGGGATTGAGCATGACATGGTGCCGCCTGAGTGTGGCGAAAGTTTCTCGGAGGTCCGACAGACTGAAGTTTAGACTTGACAATCATATCATCAATATATGCCTCGACATTTCTCCCAATTTGATCAAAGAACACAGTGTTTATCATTCGCTGGAAAGTGGCCGGGGCATTCTTAAGACCAAACGGCATGACCGTGTAACAGTATAACCCCTGATCAGTGACGAAGGCCGTCTTCTCCTGATCTTTCTTCCATAAAGGAATTTGATGGAAACCAGAGTAGGCGTCCATAAAGCTCATCAAAGCATGGCCGGCTGTTGAGTCGACCAGGTTATCAATTTTAGGCAGAGGGTAACTGTCTTTGGGGCACGCCTTGTTTAAGTCTGTGTAGTCTACACACATTCGCCAGGTGCCATTCGGCTTTTTAACAAGCACCACATTTGCAACCCAGTCTGGGAAGTAACATTGCCGAATGAACCCTGCATCAAGTAATTTTTTAACTTCGGCGGCTGCCGCCTGACTTCTTTCTTCGCCATGGTTCCGCTTCTTCTGCCGTACCGGCTTCTTTTTCGGATCCACGGCCAGTTTATGTACCGCCAGATCAGGACTAATGCCTGGCATTTCATGGACTTCGAATGCAAAGATGTCCTTGTATTCTTTCAATAGTTTGTGAAAGTCGTCACCCAGGACTCTCAGAGCAGTCGTCCCAACTTTGACTGTTCGCTCAGGACGTGAATCGTCTAAGATCAAGTCCGTATGCTCACCAGCCGGCTGAGGGCGGAATTCATCCGACCGCTCCTCTGCCAATGATTGCTATTTTCTGTCTTTTCTTGCGGCCCCCGTCTAGGCTGCCTTTCTCTTCTTGCCGCCTGCTTCTTGAATAGGCGCACTCTCCTTGACATTGTCAAGGTCTGTTTTTCCACCACTTGACCCAGTGGCCATAACAGTGGGCTTGACATCCGAGAGATAGCACTCTCGGGCCATCTTCTGATCTCCCCTTAGGGACCCGACTGTTCCATTATCCCTCTCAAACTTGAGCAACATAAGAGATGGGATTATAACAGCCTTGGAATTATTCAGGGTTGGTCGTCCCAGAATCATGTTGTAGGCCGAGAGTTCTTCTACTACCAGGAACTGGACTACCATGTGTCGTCCTTCCCTTTTTTCGCCCAGGCGGATGGGTAAATCCACTCGTCCCACTGGGTGGACGACTCCTCCTCCAAACCCTACTAAAGGGTGGGATGCCGGATGTATGCAATCAGTCTGATATTTTAGTTTCGACAGACATTTGCTACTGATGAGATCTGAGGAGCTTCCGGTATCTATGAAGATTCGGCCAACTCTCTGGTTGGCCACTTTACATTCAATAACGATAGGGTCGTCATGCGGCCCTCTTACCCCTCCTAGATCTTCTTCAGTGATGACAATCTCAGGAAATGAATATTTGGAGGGTCGTTCTTGGTGAACGGAATTTACATCTAACCGTCTGATATTGTCTTTGTTGCCCCTAATAGTGGGGCCGCCTCCTTAGAAGCCGCCTGCAATGGTGTAGACGACTGCATCATCTGTATCGGAGCTGTCGGCCTGTTGACTCTTTTTGGTCGACTGCTTTTTTGAGGAAGTGTTCCCCGTAGATTTCTTGACATAAGTGTCAAGATCACCTTGCTCAGCCAGGCGGTCCAGATACCGCATGAGACTGATGCAGTCATTGGTGTGATGACCAACATCTTCATGATAATCACAGAATTTTTCTTGGTTCCGATTGTTTGCAGAACCCTTCATGGGGACCGGCTTCTCAATTGAGATCCGTCCCTTGATTTCCTTTAGGATAAATTGGCTATCCTTGTTAAACGCATACTTTGGGGAGTATGGTTTGAATTCTTTTTTCTTTTTCTGGGCCGGCTGTTTAGAGGAATCAGCCGCCCAGACCTCTTTTCTCTTCTCGTCTTTGTTTGACGACTGTTTCTGTCGTCCTTCTCTTTTGTCGGACCTTTTCCCGTCTGACTGTTTTACCGTACTTCAAAGATCAGTCGCCTGTATATAGGTTTCCGCTTCAATCAAGGCCTCTTAAAGAGTCGCCACCCTCTTTCGGACCAAATCAAATTTGAAGGTCGACCCGTTTTTGAGACCTTTGAAAAAGTCAGTATAGGCTACTTCATCCGGTAACCCTTGAATCTGTATTCTCATCAGGTTAAACCGCCTGATGTAAGAACGAAGCCCCTCCTTCTCGCCCTGCTGAATTGTTCCTAAATCAAGGGTCGTCTTCTTCGCAGGGATGTTCATGGCGAAGTTGGAGGTGAATAAGTAAGCAAGCGTCCTGAAGTTATTTACACAACCAGTCGGCAGGTTGCCGAACCATTGTTGTGCGGTTCCTTTGAGAGTCGCTGGGAAACACTTGCACCAAGTGGGATCATCCAACCCTTGAAGGTACATCAGGTTGGTGAATGCCATCAGATGGTCTTCTGGGTTAGTAGTGCCTTCATAGGCGCCTACTAATACATTTTTCACTTTGGCCGGCTGAGCGGCTTCAGTGGAGAAGGCCGACGGCTGTTCACCAAGTCTAAGCAACCGTAGCTGCCAGTCCATAGGTTGGACATTTTTTGCTGTATGTCCACCAAACGAAGGTGGCTGTAAAAAATACTGTTGTTGCGGTACAAACGGTAAGTTTGGTACCGCCTGGTCGCTATGAAAGTCGGACTGACGGGAGGTGCCGCCTGACTGACTCTCATGATACGACTGAGTATGCCTCATCGAGGTATTTCGCAGACTGTCTTGGAAGTTTGAAGTAGAGGCCGACTCTGACAATCGGTCACTCTTCTTCTGCTCTAGCAGTAGCCGAGCGTCTGTGTATGTTTTCCTCGACCCGTCCGCCTGAATATGACGAACAGGTTTCCTATTTCCTGGAGTAGGAAAACGGTATTTTGTGAAATCAAGGGCAGGTGGCTCCCACTTCCTAGATTTAGGATGAGGGGTCGCCTCTCGCCCTTGAACTGGTTTCCTCTTCAGTGAATTGGAGGGTTTCTTAGCCGACTGCTCCTTGTCCAGAGCAGGCGGCTTCTTGTTGATCAACTCTTGAATTTCTCCCTTGAAGTCCCTCATGAAGGTCATGAGTTCGTTCCTTGTGATGGGAGCAGACCCATCAGTCGGCTGCTGCCGAACAGGCGGTGCGCCTGCTGGCTCGCTTCCAGTTTGAAAATGTTCCCGTTCCCTCCTTTCGGTATGACGGGTACGTCGGGCCCTTAGGGTCCCGTCTGAAGCTGTGTGAGCTTCAACTTCAAATTCATTCTCAGTATCGTGGTCCGACTGAACTAGAGGGTCGTCCAGGGGACGTCTCTCTTCAGGAGCCGGTACAAACGTGGATGCCATCTCAGAAGTACTCTCCCCACAGACGGCGCCAAATGTTTCGGGGTTTTCTGATGTCCTGCGGGAGAGTTACAATTCCGAGACTGGAACCGGACGCCTGTACCTGCAAAACAAACGGATGCTCCGGATGATTGGAGATCCGCCTCCGACGGTCAAGTTAGTACTTGATTAAGGAGTAATTAATGCGGAAATTAAAGTGATTGGGTCTCTCTAGGTGAGAGTGTTTAATGTGTGTAATCTGCGTTTTTAGCGTGTTATCTCCCTTAATGAGGATTAAGGGAGGTATTTATAACCTCGGGAAACGTGTCAGTCTAGGTTTAGGTTAACCTTGGGCTGATTGGGCTTCCCTCGGAAGTTGGGCCTAGGTGACCGGTTATCCCAGGTGTCATGGGAAGGACACGTGTCGTGTCGTAATTGGTCCATAGTGGACGGATCATTGCTTGACACGTGGCAGGCTCCTATTGGCCCATGTGACGGACACATGGCGGAACCTGATTGGTCCACTTGTCAGATGGTGATTGGTGGGGAAAAATCCCCTAATCAGAAAGCATGATATTCAATTGATAATGGCCGAAGGTTTACAAAAGATAGCTTGAATTTATTACTCTTTATTAGTGTGACTTTAGGTCACCACGCTCAAAGTAGTGACTTGAGGTCACAACTTTCCTAAGGATTGTGGACTGTGGTTTTGTCTCAATGTGCATAGGTGGCATCTCTTATTTGATGACTACTAAGTACTAACAAGACGAAACACCCTGAATGCCCCTCCCGGCTTATTACAAAGTATGTATAATGGCGTTGATTTAGAAGGAAACTTTAAAGCCTTTCCCCTTGAGCCCCCATTAGGTTTGATCAGCTAGCACAGAGTCACATAAGATTATAAAAATGAAATTACACGCATATGTGAATGTGATGGAGATTCTTCAAGTGTTATTCCAGATCTTCTAGAAACACATGAGTATGATTTCAAAAACTACAGCAAGATCTCTAGTATTAATCCAAGAGATTTCTTGATAAGTTTTTTCATTCTCTATAATTTGAGAAACAAAATTCCAACTGTATGGACACTAGAAATACTTTAACAAAGTTATGGAAACCAATAGACCATAGATAATAAACCAACCTTCAATCAACTGAGCACAGTATCTTAATCTTATATTCACCTTTAATCAACCAGGCCCAATATCTAATTCCTATATTCACCTTTGTTAAACCTTATGCAAAGGAAAACTTTTATTTGGGGGATAGCGGAAGTAAAAGTTTAATGGCTCCAATCTATCATAAGGGGGCATCAAGGAAGAAAAAAAAAACAATAGCCTCACCATGGTGTCAAACCAATCTTCACACATGACATTTTTGCCACCTCTTGAAAACTGCAAAGTCAAATAACGATTCTTCGGATACACAATGGTCCCAAACAACTTCATTCTCCCCTGTTTCATCATTCCAAAACCAAACAGATCAGATTATAGTCCATAATAGTTAATAAGAAGCTTGTTTAGCAGGAATTTACGCTATTTGTGTTTATAAAGTTCATAAAGTTTGGGGCAGTACCCACTCTACACAGACTTGGGATCGAATCCAATCCATATCAATACCTTTTGTGGCTCCTTTCACACACCCCAAAATAATAATATAATTAATACTTTAGCTTAATATAAATTTTCAGACCCAAAAAAAATAGAATCTACTAGCATTCTAACATCTTGCTATTAGGCAATTTTCTCCAATAGATGAGGGGAATGACAAGGATTCCCCCAAATTAACACAGAATACCAAATAGAGAACAAACTCAAAACCCACAATTTAAGAAATGCTAACAATCAGCAAGTGAGAATTCCAAATCAACACCATATTAATTACAAAATAAAAATTTAAAATTTATAAGAAAATTATAAAACCAACAAATTAAGAAATGCGAACAATCAACAAAAATCACAGTGTAATGAGTTCACTCCATAATTGATCACTACAAAAAGAAAAATATCAAAAACAAAACCCCACAAAATTAAGAACTGCCAACAATCAGCAAATGACCACAAAATCCCAAATTTATCCCATATGACACCAAATTAAGAACAAAAAAACAAAACCCAAATACCAATTTAACTGAAGAACAAGAATACCTGAGGAAAATCAAGGTAAAGGGCAGGATTTTTGGACCCCAAATCAGTGAGCTCACCAATTTTACCACCAGAAATTGGAGCTAAAAGCCCAGAAAAAGAGAAAAGATAACGATTCTTCCTCTGAGATTTCTTGAGAATATCTTTACCATGGTGTTTAATTACAGTCTTGGAGGGATTAAGAGGTGTAAAGTCTTTAGCAGGAGAATGTGAGATGATGTTGTTAGAGTAAGCAAGGTTTTTGAGCCGCAATCGTTCTTGTGTTTCTGGGTTTGCTTCTTCTTGTTGTTGTTGATCTTCTGCCTTCTTCTGCTTCTTTGGTCTAGCCATCACAAATTCGCAGCAGTTGTTGTTCTGCTCGAATGAAGTTGGAGTGAGATGAGCGGGAAAGCAGAGCTTAAACAACTGGGTTTGTTCGTGGGGAGACTAAACTGTGTGTATGTTACAGAGTTACAGTATTTGTTTAACGAAAGCTGTGAGATACGGAGTAAGAGTTATACGCCCCTCTACACTATTCACTTATTCAGTGTTCACCCAACAATGTCGAGGCTAAGGATGGCAATATTTGATGGATATTCATTAACTTAATCCACCCGCTTTAAATAAATGGACGAAAATTCGAAATAAATGAATAAAAAGCGGGTAACGGACGAAGTGGATGATGGATCGGAACGGATGTAAATGATGATTTTTCACCCGCTAACCATCCACCCACCCGTTTAACAAATAATAACTTATGGTAAATGTTTCGGGGTATTCTGTGTTCTTTGGGAGAGTTACAACACCAAGACTGGAATCCGGACATCTGTACCTGCAAAACAACGGAGACTCCGGATGGGGGAGTTCCGTCTTCTACGATCAAGTTAGAACCGGAATGGAGTCTGTGATAAATGCGGAAGTAAATGATCTCGAAATACGAGATGGAGAGTAAATGATCTGCACTTTGTATGCTCGGTTGGTCAGTATTAATTGTGAATGGTTTCCAATAGGGAAACATCTTTCTATTTATAGGATCTGAAAGCATGTGCCACGTGTCCAGAGGAGATAAGTCCTTATGGACCACTCTGAAGATGCCACGTGTCACCATCTGATTGGGCCAAGTGGCATAGGGTAAAAATACCATAATCATTTGCCCCTCACTAATGTGACGTGGCAGGCCACGTGGCATGTGTGACACTTGTCACTTAATCATTGGCTAACGGCAATAACCGTTCGCCTTCTAGGGCAGTTACCTTGGTGATCCTTCGCCATACCCTTCTTTATATAGCCGTCCACCCCCCTCATTTTCCAAAGTTCAGAAAGAGAGAGACTCAACCGGCTTCCGAAGAGTATTAGAGTAAAAAAACCGCCTGCACCCACATTCAATCCACATCCGGTATTACGTCTGTGCCCTTGCAAGCCATTATCTGATTTTTCACCTGCTACCACACCCGGTCAACACTTCGCTTGCAGCCTGCCTTTTGAGGTACCGTCTCTACCTCCTTCAGCTCTTTCATGCATTTTTGTTTGTGCCTTAGCTTCTTTTTCTCTTATAAATGGGTTCACCAAATACACACACGGCACACCATGATTTAGAGGGCAACCGGTCCCCTGGTACAGCTGATTCTATGACCGGGGGAGCCGCCTCTAGGTACTAGGATTCCCCTTGTCCATCTCCTAATCCGACCATCTCTGTGTCTGTGCAGGACACTATGGCTCGAACTAGAAAGACGGCTGTAGACCCGGAGTATAAAGGAGAAAGCTCTGAAGAAGGTCCGCCTGAGATGGATCGGGCTAAGATGACAAAGGGATCTCCGGGATGTACCCCAAGCACCTCCAGCGATGGAATTCTGGGGTCTAATAGCGGAGGCGGTGAAGAAGCCGCCTCTATCTTTGGAGCTGAGAAAGGAGAGCCCTCCAACAAGGGAGACAACAATGATGCCGCCTCTAGGTCTCACTTTGAGCAGAGCAGCAACAGCTATCTCACACCGGTTGTGGATAGCGAGGAAGAAGAGAGGCCAACCTGGAACAATAGGGGTGATCCCCTCAGAATTCAAGTCTCATCTAGAGACAGGGCCAACATGGAGAAACATCTGGCAACCTGTATCCGCAAGCGGCCTTTAGGGGAGGGCTATACCATCTGGGTACCACCTGAGATGAGCACCATTGCTTGGGAAGACAACCAGCGTAATGCAAACGGATACTTTGGTTTCTATGAGGCGGCCTTTCTAGCTGGTCTCCGCTTCCCTCTTCACGACACAATAAAGGCCATCCTAAGAGGGTATGGACTAGGCGTGTGGCAGTTAACCCCCAACTCTTGGGTTAACATCTTAGGCTACATCGCCGCCTGTGAGATGCAGGGCCTTCATCCGGGCTGGGAGGCCTTTGCCCACATGCATTACTTGAGCCGAAGTCCAGGCATGTGGAGGGCATGGTATACCCTGACTACCTACCCCAAGTACCTGATGACCCTAGACAAGCCGTCTAAGTGGTCGGACTGGAAAAACGACTTCTACCTCGTCTTTGCCTCAACAAAGCAAGAGAACTCCGAGCTGAGGATATACAACCGGAAGCCGAGTCTGCTGGGGTAGAAGTAAATTTACCCAAGTCCTAGATGAGGACTATGAAAGAATAATAGAGGCAGGGTTTTTTGGACTTACTACCACCGCACTCTCAACTGGCAAGTTAATAAGCGTACCTAAGAATTGGTTACCCAAACATGAGTTTTTGCGGGATGAGGCCTTCTTATCCGTCTGTGGGTTGAGCACCCAGTTCAAGAAATGTATGTTTTCATATGCAGTTGGCACCTTTTTACTTGTGAAATTTTTGCATATTGGTCCAATCAAACGGGTTCTTTTTGCAGTGAACGCTTTAAGGATGTTGCGGAAAAGAAAAACCCCCGCAAGATCCGTCGCAGACATCCGCAAGGAAAATGCGGAGAAGAAGAGAGCTGCCCAGGCGGCAAAAAACCAGGTAGAAACGCCTGCCTCTCATTTCTCTTGCATACATCAATATTAATTTACACCGGCTGACTGTAAAGACTTTACTTTTTATTCAATATGGGAGCAAGGCGCCTTGATCACTCACCAAGTTTATCAGGCCAAGGCCGGGGGAGGGGGGGGATGCTGCTGCCCCCAGAAAATCTCAAAAGACGTCTGCCCAAGCGGCCCCGAGCCGCGTGACTGTTGGGGGTAAGAGCGTCAAAAGTACCGGCATGGGCTTCGACCTCGCTGCCCGGCAGTCGGATGTCTCTAAGGCTCCCAAAACTACGGGTTTGGAGACACCCTTAGTTATAGTGACCCAAGGTACAACAGATCCCTTCAACCCTCTAGTGCTTGTCAGACCCATGCGGGTCAAGTCGCATTCTCAACTCCGGCCAGAAGATTCTTTTGGCAGCCGGCAATCTATAGGAGGAGCTTATGTAGCTTTCTCACCGTCATTTTCTGGTGCAGATCACTCCCCCCGGTGCCCGGACGTGCAGCAATACTCCCAGGCAATGCTGAAGGCCATCCCCAAAGAAGAGAAGGAGGCGATCCCAGGGATCCGCGTCTTTAACGCTGACTGGGTCTTAGCTGGCCTAGCTGAGGTATGAGTATGCCTATTTCCTCTCTCCTTCTTTTTTTTTTCTTTTGTTTACTAACTTCTATTCTCGGCTGGGGTCATGCAGTCTATGTTGTGCGTGGAGGGGTTGAAAAAGGCCTACGCCAGGAAGCAGGAGAAGGTAAGACGAGTCAAAAGAGAGGCGTCTGATACCCATATCGTTGCTCAATATTCGTGATAGTGCATGAACTTGAAACTAAAAGCAAAATCATGCAACAGGCGGACTCCATCAAACGACTGCAAAAAACCCTCGATGAGACCAGCACCAAGCTCTTCAATCTTCAGGAGTCGTACAAAAATTCTGAAGAGGAGCTTAAGAAGGCGGAGGAGACTCTCCAATATTTAAAGGAAGCGAAGGAAGAGAACTCCTCCCTTAAAGCTGAGAACGTCTGCCTGAAGAAAAAGGTGGCTATTGCCAGCAAAATTTTTGAGACAACTCTTCATGCTGAGCAGAGCCGGCTCATAGAGGAGAATGAGCAAGACTGCGAGAACCGCATGAGGATGGCCTGGTCCTTTGTGCATCCGGAGATGGAGTACGCCGACTAGGAGCTGGCCTACAAGTATGCAGATCTTTCCATTCTGGCCAAAGAAGAGAACAAGCCGGAGCCCGAGCCGTATGAGGAATGGGCGAAGAAAGAGATTAAGGCCATGCAGGCTGCTACGGGCTCTGATGGGGAGGAGGAGGAGAACCAAGCGGAAAATCATGAGACTCCTGCCCCAAGGCCAGCCGACACAGATGTGCCTCGCCCGCCTCCTCAGGCTTAAGCTTCCTTATTTATATTCCCTACTCCGGCCTGCGCGTCGTGTATCTTTGTATTTTAACAATCTTTTTTCTCTCCCGGATGTATATCCGGTCAACTATTTTCTCTCAACCTTGTGGTCGGGTTTGATTAATGATTATTTGCCGACTGTGTCGGTTTTGCAAGTTTAATTTCAATTTTTTACAATTCCGCTGAATTTTCGCATGTTGCATTTTCTGCTAATTTTTTGCCAAGTAGTTGTCTCCATGCGGTCAACCGGATGCCCTAGCTATACTTGCCCCTGGACGGATGTGTGCTTGGTTGATTATTGTTGAATTTTAAATTGAACAGACATCTGTCTACCAGGCATTCAGGATCATTATGAAAAATACCGGTTGTGATTTACCTTGTAAACCAGTTTTGGCCAGTTAGTTCAACACTATACAGACGAGCACATACCATGTGTAGATACTTTGAACAAAGACGACTTAACCACTAGGGTTAGGCTTATATCTTTATATTAGCCGTCTGTGGTACCTTTGGGCAACAGACGGTTTAATCCAACCATGTCAACAACCTTTAGCTGAACTGAAACAGGCGGGAGACATATTGCCAAGGCTTCAATTAATCTTTCAAACGGTTGAGTTATCTTAACCTAGACACTCTGTTAGGCCGCTTATGTTTTTGTTTGTAGAGCAATGTACCACCCAAATGGGAGATGCTCTCTTCGACGAATTCACCCGGATGGGGTGTCGCCGGGTGCCCACTGTTGGAGTAGGCACTTAGTTGTAATATCTGGCCATTGGCCTCCTAAGTTAGGTCAGAAAAGAACGACCTAGCCGCTTAGTCACTAGACTTAGCTTAACATTGCTTATATGGAAGCAGATGTAGAAAAAATCACATACCCGTTTGTGCATCGCACAGACGGTTCACATGTACAAAAGAAAATAAATACGCTTGCAAACAAAGTTACTTTCATTTTGTTTACAGTAATTTACACAAAATCTCAGTAGTGGTACTTTTTCAGGTTATCCACATTCCAAGTTCTGGCTAGCTTCCTACCGTCTGGTGTCTCCAGGTGGTAGGTGCCGCCTCTAACTTCCTCATAGATCCAGTAGGGACCTTCCCAATTAGGAGTCAGCTTTCCTTGCTCATTGGCCCTACCGGTTGCCTCCA